ACTTCACCAAAAAAAAAAAAAATGAATAAACTAGTGTCTAAATAGACTGTTTCAGTGTATGCCTTCAAGGGAAGGTGCAGGATCTGCTAAATGTCGGGCATGCTTTGAACTTGACATTGATGACAAGTTTGAGCAGCAATGGACATGCTGGAGCCTCATTTTAAAGAGGCCTCTTGCATGTTGGCTTAGCTCACACGAATTGAAAAATATTCATAAGCATTAAAGTTCATATTATGCATGGTGGACATTAATAATTAACTAAGGTAATTAAAATTAACCGAGGTGGTTTCATTTTAAAAGTCAATAAGGTGATATTTTGTATTTTTGCATATGCATATATATGGTTTCATCCCTGCTTCATCTTACAGGGAAGGTAATGTGGGCATTGCATGTGATTAACAAATAACTAAGGTGGTTTCTTTTGTTTGCGTACTGCCGTAGTAATGTTTAATACTAATAGAATTATGGAAATTCCGTGAAACTATGTCTTTTCTATTCTTCCCTATTTTAATCTGATCTTTCCGAGATGTGCATTTCTTGTTTCTTTGAGTTGGTTTGCAACAATTTTCAGGGTAGCAATTGATGTGTTGAATGCATGACACGTGACTGTTACAAGCTTTTTGCTATTTCTTCTTTATCTTCATCTGCTCCAACCACCCCCCCCCCCCCGCTCTCTCTCTCCAAGGCACTTCACTTCTTTCTCTTTGCTTGATATTTGGAATTACAAAGAATTTTGCTGATCTGGCTTTAGGTAATGTGGGTGATTCAACTAGGAATTTGGATTTCCGGTGATCAATGGCCACTTTAGGGTACCTTTAGATGTTACACACAAGAGTTAGTTTTGAGGCAATTACATTACTCACTCATTGCTCTTTGATGGAACTCCATATGTGAGGATCATAGGATTACATGGATTAATGAAGTTTTACTTCCAGTCTCGATCTCATGGCTGCTTTGCTTCTATAATAATTGCTGAGTTTGATGTGTCCATTTTTAGTGTGGAGCAACTGAAGGATATTGGCTGCAAGTGGGTTGTTCTTGGACACTCTGAGCGGAGACACATTATTGGTGAAGATGACCAGGTAGAAAATTTTCAAGTTCAATGTAAACTTATTTTATTGCATTTAAATGCAACTCAGCTATTTATGGCATTTTTATGATGTAGTTTATTGGAAAGAAAGCTGCTTATGCTTTGAGTGAGGGTCTTGGAGTTATAGCATGCATTGGGGAGCTTCTACAAGAGAGAGAAGCTGGGAAAACTTTTGATGTCTGTTTTCGGCAATTGAAGGCTTATGCCGGTAACTTTTACTTTTGTGCTTACTTCTGTATGAGATGTGGTCAATTATGAGCTTATCATCGTCTTCTTGCCTGCAGATGCTGTGCCTAGTTGGGATAATATTGTTATTGCCTATGAGCCTGTGTGGGCTATTGGGACTGGTAAGGTGGCCACCCCCCAGCAGGCTCAGGAAGTCCATGTAGCATGCCGTGATTGGCTGAAAAAGAATGTCTCTGCAGAAGTTGCTTCCAAAACGCGCATCATTTACGGAGGTAGGTTAATTGAAACGGTTTTATTCTTTAGTTTTGTCATATATTGCGGGATAGGGTTTTGGTTTGGGCTTGGAGTGTACAAGTTGGGGACTTCACTGCTTTTCTTGAGAATTGTTAACTGATGCAAGTTCACTGGATTGGGATAAAGGTGTCCTGTATAAGCCTACATATTGGTTTGATTTCGTGTAGCTTGGCTGTATTTTTGTAAGACTAGGTGAGGAAATAAAGTGAGGGAGAAATTATACTGCCTCCCCACATCAAAGTGGTGCATCAAGCACCTAGAGCTGGCATCTGTTGAGTAAAAAATTTGATGAAAATTGGCTGATACGTCGAGTCCTCTTCTTGCTTCACCATTTAGTTTGACCCTACTTCGACAGATTCTATTATGATATCAAATAGTTTCATTTACAGTAACTCTGGATTCTTTCTGTTGCTTGGATACTGTACCATCGGCTGTTCTGGTTTTTGTCTGTTATCCTTGCTTTCGAACAAGTATTTTTCCATTGCTATGTGTGGCCTAACTCAAGATATTACGCTCTGCAGGGTCTGTAAATGGAGGCAATTGCGGAGAGCTTGCAAAGCAGGAAGATATTGATGGTTTTCTTGTTGGCGGTGCTTCCTTGAAGGTATACTTCCGCTAAATCATTTTGCCCAAAGCTTGAAAATCACGTGTTTTTGACCTAAAAAAATGACGATTATCACAAAGCTGCTCATTTATGTACGATTTGACATGTGATGCAGGGTCCTGAGTTTGCTACAATTGTCAACTCTGTAACATCCAAGAAAGTCGCAGCTTGATGATATAATCGTGGTTTCTCACAAGAAGAGCTAATAAGGGGTGACCATACCACATTCACACCGGAGCGCAGTGCATCAAAAGTCATGAGCTGGTTCTACACAAGTCGATTTTTCTCAGTTGTCTGATTTGTTCCCTTTAATGGGTCTTGGAATATCTGTAACTTGTTGATTTTGCATTTACCGAACTTCTTAGAACTAGATGAATAGAAGATGAAATGTCCCATAGCTATTGTATTCCAAGAAGAGTCGGTGTCCCTGAAACTTGGCACTTGTTGAGGAGTCTTGTTTCCCTTATGACCTCCTAAATGATGAAAAGAGGGACGAGCCTGGTGGTTGGAATAGAATAATGTATGTGATATGATGATGGCTTGTGTTTGTTCTCATCCAACATGTATCAATCTCAAGTTCTACAAGAGACTTAATATTTAGATGGATCGCAAATCCCCTTACCTGCCTATATGGAGAAACAGCTGTGCAGTGAGCGCGCATAATGTGAGCATCTGAATCACTCCCGGTTTCTTCGTATTGCGAGGTAGGTTCGTTCTTTCCATTATCCTCCTATCTTGAACTGTGAAGGGTCAATTCCTGAAAAAACTCATCCTGTTTTGGCTTCATTTGTTTCGAGAAAAAAATAAATGATTTGAAAAATATTTTCGTAAAAATGATTGCATTTCCACGAAAGCAAGACAAGCTATTATTTTTATTCAAATTATTCGTTTTCTGTGAAACAGACAAAATTTTAATGGACAGAGTCTCATAGTCGCCAGACGAGAAAAGGAAAAGGAGGGATCGGATTCATTAATTTTTATAAGCGATACCAATGATCTTTTTTACGAAAATATTTTTCGAATTATTCATTTTCTACGAAACAAAAGAAGTTTTAGAAAATAGAGTCCCATAATCATCGGACTATGTTTGGAGGGATTGGATGAGTTCGGTGTAACTTGTCTTGCGATTCAGAGAACTGCACTAAAGTTGCGTCGATTGCAGAAACTTTCGAGTAAATTAATTTTCTCAACCGGGCCAATAGACCCTTTACTCCAAAGAAGCTGTATGTGTATATATAAACTCGAACATCAAAGCACCAGTGGTCTAGTGGTAGAATAGTACCCTGCCACGGTACAGACCCGGGTTCGATTCCCGGCTGGTGCACCTCACCTTTTTTGTCAGTTTCTTTTTTAAAGTTTTACCCCAATTTATGCTTTTGCTCTGCTCATCTACCCTTCATCCATTGCACATCTCGTGAAAGTAGTCCTTGTATAATATGGGACCAGGCCAACACCGAGTCTCGAAGACACGGCATGATCAAACATTGGACCATGAACCAACCTTGGTAGGTTTGACGATTTGGACGTACATCGGGTGTCCGAGTAACCTTCACGGAATGGGAGCTTCGGACCGCTTTCAAAGAACATCTTTTGTGGTCTCATTTCCCGCCGTCGACTTCTTTGGTACTCTCTGTTGATCATATACAATAGCTTCGCCTATATAAAAAATTAAGAAGAAACAGACGCGGCGTTTTCTTGGAGGACCAGCATGATGGAGATAATCACGTCCCGTGGTATGTGTGGCAGTGTCTTGCCTTGACTTTGCTTCTTTTCGTGTTTGAAGACTACCCGGAGGACAACTGGTATCGGTCAATGCTTATTCCACAAGTTCTGCAACCTGAAAATCGTTCTTCATCGAACGAGACATGAAGAAACTTCAATGGTTCGGGGGACTCGTATCATGCCATCGGCTTTCCGACTCGAGGGGTAGAAGATTTGTGTACATGACATGTGTATGGTCTGATGGAATCCCCTAGCTATTATTTTGCCTAAATTGGTTGCTTCGTTGAGTTCGACCTGTTGCAAGTTAAGCTCGCAGAACTTGGAGCAGCATATTGGCGCATCTTGATCGTGCACAATATCTTGTCCATTCCCTTCTACCAAGTAAAGATAAACAGGAGATGCAGGACGCCAATCTCTGCGCTCAAGATCGAAACGATTGAAAGTCGTAATAATGTCAAAATGGGTAGACCGAGTTAGGCGCACTATATTACCTTGGAGCGTCTTTGATTTGGAAGAACGATTAGGGAAGGGGCGGATGCGAGCTTAAACGATAAACATGATCATATGTCTAAAGCGTGAATGTTCACTTCCATGAAACTACTGGTCTAAATGAGTGGCTCTAACTGTAGCTTTAAGTGGCCGTCTCCATCAAGTTTTCCACGTACTCAACTCATAAGATAAAACAACCGAGTTGTTTAAGCAGAGTGCCGTGTCTTCAGGCGGTTTCTTGTTCCAAAAGTTTCGCGTTGATTCGACAATAATTGACTTAAAACTCAGGCTGGCGGTAACTTGAGAAACATCATCTACTTGCAAATCAATTAAACCAGACGTGAACCATGCAAATGACCAAGAAATGAAATCCAACCACCACCCATCAAGTTTCTCTTCAGTTTTTCCCTGCCGGGTCACTCGAAAAAAAAGATGGAGAAAAGAGCAGCGAAGTTTGAATCCTTTGATTTAACATGGCCGTTTGAGACAAAGTAAAGTTGTTCAGAATATCATGTTTCTTGCCTCATGTTTCTCATCAGCTAAACTACCCAAAGCACTTACGGACAGGATCGAAGTTTTTCAAGCAGCTAAAACTTGCCCCAAATCTCTACAACATTTGGACAAACCGTAGTATTATATCTACACAACTAAAACAAGAACAGGTCATGCAATATATACACCAATCTTGGCACTCTACACTAAATAGTAGATACCCTTTTCCCTCACTAACGAAAACAAACGAAAGACTTAGCATAAAAAAGAACCTATCTTAGTAAAAAAGAACTTGCACTAGGGCATGATTGTTCAAAAAGGGTTAAACCAGCTTTCTCGGAAGGCAGATTGGTATTGCATCAAAACAAGCAGCAAAACTATCAAAGCGGCGACGCCCCACGGCGAGCTTCCCTCGGTGGGCTGGCGATATGTTCGGCGCCACCGGTCCCACGGAGACGTGGCAAAGAAGCCCATCGGGTCTTCAGCGGATGTCGACAACCACCGGACCAGGACGAGCAAGACCAGCGGCGCGGCCAACAGAATCCAGCCCATCTGCTCTTCGGCACTCTCCATAAAATCCTCGAAGCTGAAATACCATGATGTGCCCAGGAAGATGAAGATCACTCCTAGGATGACCAAGACCGGGTATGGCAGAGGATTGAGGTCAGTGAAGGCCTCGGAGATTGAAGAAGTGGCGCTTCTTCTACCATAGGCCATTCTCAGAAGAAAGTTAGGAGATGATGGAATCTATAGACTGAGCTGAGCTTATTTATAGGAAGAGAATGGTTTGTGGTATCTTGTGAGTTAGATCACCCACTACAGAACAGATACAATTTTTTCAATTACTTTTACCTGACAGAAATTTCCAAATTTGACCAACCTGAATTAAGGGAATCAAAGAAGAAGGGAAACGAGAGAAATCCGGAAGAAGCAAACGAAGGTCCAGTTGGGATAGGACAGGGGTTATAATATTGGGGTGATAGAATATAATTTTTATTGCCTATATTTATCGACATGAGTTGGATTAGGAAAATAACCCCAAATTGAGAAATATATCTAGATAGTACCCTCGAAATATAGACAATATCGTCTCACTAAATAAAAATTAAGGAAACTAAGTAAATGACGAGAGTATCAGTTACTACGCTTGTACTAAGTGATATGACAAACAATAAGTGATCTATTACGAAAAATAGACTCAATTCGGCAATTAATAACAACCTATCAAATCATTCAATATGGGAATTTGTGCCGTAGTTTTGGTTAATACTACTATTTGTCTTGTTTGTGTGCGTGGAAGATTTATAATTTTATACGAGCAATATCTATGAATAGTGAAGTGAATTTTCCATATTTTCTCCATAGTATATCCCGGAGGGAAAAGATTTGCAACTTGGGAAATATTTTATTCTTCACTTTTGACCAAATTCGAGTACTAAAATATGTCATCGCCAACTAGAAGTTTTTTCCCCTTAATTGGTTTTTAACACCGGGAGTTTAGCAAAACCATACTTGATGTCATCGAAATCTCTTTCAGTGGACGTAATCATTAATGTCAAAAGCAATGAGCCCCATTAATGATTAAGATAATATCAGATTCAGAACATCTAAATTGGTTTCGACACTAAATTCCCGGGTAGCTTATGCATTTGCAACTTGGGCAATAATTTTATCCTATTTTAATGGGTGTGTATCTTCAATGAGTTAAAACAAGAACGTATTGTTATCAACAATTCACAACAAATGTATATTATATTAGTAAAATTTACATGTGAAAACATACCTATTTTGATGAGAATCTTTTATAGAGATATCGGGTATATGACAATTGAATTTTTATTGCAACATTATATCGCCTGATGATTTATTGACAAAATATTGTATTTATCTATGTTAACATGACTTGATATAATCATATTTCGAGTATATGTGCATCTTACGTGATTAACTGACTAATGAAAGGGTATAACATAAGTAAAATATTGGAGTACTTTTATCCGAGTACAATATAGAATGTGTTTTATACATGCTTAATACGGTTTACAGTACAAGAAAGAGTATTTTTCTTTAAGTTTGACAGATACATGGGTTATGATAGTTTTATTGAAATTCACATACGTACACGTGTTCAATGTAAAAATACTAGTATTTTACTCAGAAGGGATAACTATATATATGCATGTGTATATATATGATCAAGACATCTTTTTTACTGAGCTGACAGAAAAATCACTGAACTCATGAGCAAGTTACCATCCATGGAACGATACCATAAGAAAATAATTGTATAATTGTATACAATATAGTCTCTTTTTCCTTTTCTTTTTCATTTTGGGTGAGAATTGTATATAGTGTAGTCTCTTTTCCTTTTTCTTTTTCCTTTTTCTGGTTGCTTTTTGGTCTCTCCCAAAATCCAATTATCTCTTCAAAGTTAGCTTCCAAATTCCTCTTCAACGGAACCTGAAACACACGGCCTTTTCTCTCTTCCGATCATTCTTGGTGGATTCCATCACTTTCCCGAGAAAGAGAGAGAGAGAAAAACACAGTGCGAGATCAATCCCTCGGCGAAAGTTTCGATTTTGATGCGATATGAGGCCGCAGAAGAGGCCGATCCACGCGGTGGCTACATGGGTGAGGCGGCAGCCCCCTAAAGTCAAGGCCTTTCTGGCCGTCGTCTCCGGCATGGCGGCTCTCGTGCTGCTCCGGTTCGTCGTCCACGACCACGACAACCTCTTCGTCGCCGCCGAGGCCGTCCACTCCATCGGCATCGGCGTCCTTATCTATAAGCTCATGAAGGAGAAGACTTGTGCTGGTATTTCTACGCAAAGTCCTTTGTTTTTCTCTTTTGTGTGCGAGTGGCTTGTGTTTGGGATGGTATTCGAATGGTGCATATGAATCGGCTCGTGCGGTTAGGCTTTGGATGTTGCGGTGATTGTGTTGATATAGGACAGGGGATCTTTATGATGAGGTTTTGTCCTGATCAGGTTGGGTTTAATGCTTGCTTGCTAGGGTTTTCTTTATTGATCGTTCATGGTGAACTTGTGTTGGCCAGGGCATTGGGTTTGTAGAGTTCATAGGCGAACGTAGTATAGTTCTTGGCTTCTTATGATTGCTATGGGACCTTCGATCGCGAGTTGTGCCAGAAAAACAGAGAGAGAGACAGAGAGAGACAGAGAGAGAGAGTGCTTTATCTTATCTGAGTGCTAACAGCTCTTTGGCATCGCGAGAACCTACTTAAGTTTCTGCCGGTGAAAACGTTATCAAGAGAGTAGAACTCGACCATTTGAATCATCGTGGTTTCATTTTATCCGCGCCCTTATGCGCAATTAGCAGGCGTGTTGATCCAGTGTTTGCTCACTTGCCCAGACGATTCGGAAAAAGACTTCTTTTGCTGTCTGTCAGTTGTCCAAGCATTGCAGGATTGGTCTGGAACGTGCAAGGCCACATTTTGCTGGTTAGATAGTCGGACTCGGATCACCACAAGTCGTCTCTGCGTTTTTCTTTGGTTGAGCATCTTGCAAGCTGTTGTTTTATTGAGCCTCTAATATAAATTCAATATTGTGAACCCAAAGGCTGACCTTTGGCACTGGAATTTTTAAACATTATTGTCAGTGTTCAGATAATTGTCTCACATAGCTATGGTCTATCGATTAGAACTGTAGTTCATTGCATATAAAAAAAATTCAATTAAATGACACATTTATTATCACTCTTAAACTCTAATTATTTTGGTGGTATTACAACGTTTTGCATATGTTGATTGGAACGATATCCATTTCAGGGCTATCACTCAAATCCCAGGAACTAACAGCTATATTTCTAGCTGTTAGGCTGTACTGCAGTTTTGTAATGGAATATGACATACACACAATCCTGGACTTATCTACGTTGGCAGCAACCCTGTGGGTTATATATATGATCCGTTTCAAGTTGAAGTCCAGCTACATGGAGGACAAGGACAACTTTGCTATTTATTATGTGGTGAGTTTGAGAGGTCATCTAGTCGTTCTCGTGGGTAGTCCACAAATTGGATTTTCATCCTAGGAACAATAGTTTTTCAAGTTCTCTACCTATTTAGTAAGGAAAAACGAAGGTATTAGTTCCAAATTTTCACGTAAAGCAATTTCTATTGCAATTTCTTCTCCGTACGGTCTGTGCATATCTTCTGTCTTGAGGACAAGGTCGCCCTTTCTAATTTAATTGGCAGAGTTAATGGGACAAGTCATGGGATTATCGTGGTTTTGTCATTTAGGTCAACAATTTCTGGTTTTAATTTTGGAAAGGATGCAGAGAGCGTGAAATGCATTAATAACCGTATGTAATTCACCTTGCCTAAAAGTAAATAATCTTTCTTCATTGTGGTTACAGTTGATACCTTGTGCTGTGTTGGCTTTGTTTATTCATCCATCAACTTCTCATAACCTAATAAACCGGATTTCATGGGCATTTGCTGTCTACCTAGAAGCTGCATCAGTACTACCACAGCTGCGTGTTATGCAGAACACAAAGGTAAAAAGGAGGGTGTTGCTTTTCGTTTAACAGCACTATATAGACAGATCAAGGTATGACTTCTTTGATGAATAACATCCTTTTTCCATTCTTTCAGATTGTTGAACCATTCACAGCACACTATGTATTTGCATTGGGAGTGGCGAGATTTTTGGCCTGTGCCCATTGGGTACTTCAGGTTTGATCTTCTGAAATATGAAATTTCCGTTTCATTGCTATAGTTAACTCTTGGAAAAGCTCCTTCTTGTACTACTATCTTTAGCATAGTAACACTAGAGGCTCTAGAGCTCTACGAATAAATTTCAGATATTTTTTTCCAACTTTTATTGTACACCATTTATTCCGCTTTGAAATTTTCTCTTTTTTCTAATCTTTCTGAAAGCTGGAAACTTCTATCCAATTTTATGGTTTCCCTAGATTACCATCATATCTTGTACCATTGAATATTTTGAGCCTGTGGGTTTCGGATATTATTTCATGAGAATATTACTAAGGTTTTTTAGTTACAGCTCCTCACTTCATCCATTGGATATTTTAGATAGCTTTAGTCTCTGTTCATAGTAGATACTGTTCAAAGGAGATATTACTTGGCTATGGCCGAAGTTTGATACAGTTTTCTCTTGTTTAACTATTCCTATCCCAGCTGAAAAAAGGAACATTCTGGAGCAAAGCCCAAAAGTTCCATTTGATGACCCCGCTGTAGTAACTCTTGATTTATTACCTTCCACAATCTCCAGCTCTTTTTCTATTGCATATTCTTGGAATAGTTTGTAAGCACTAAAGATGATGAGCACATCATATACTTAGTATGTTTTCACAGTTGTTGGTCCCAATTATTAATGTACTTCACAGCCAATGATGGTTGATTGTTGTGTCAATGACTTTACGGTATATTGAGGAGTACTGATATCTTATATTCCTCTTAAAATAGGTTCTTGACAGCCGTGGGCACTTACTGGTGGCGCTGGGTTATGGGTTATGGCCTTCCATGGTTCTTATCTCCGAGATTGTTCAGACATTCATTTTAGCAGATTTCTGCTATTACTATGTTAAAAGGTCAGTTTGGGCTTTAATTTTCATCTTGCATGTATTTAATGTTATCGTCAACATACATAATTCTCAAATCTTCTTACAGTGTGCTTGGAGGACAGCTTGTTCTACGTCTTCCCTCTGGGGTTGTATGAACTGCGCATCGAGATTCAGATGAGGAAACGGGGATAGACATTCACTGTCCTCGTAGTCTTGCTCTCTACCTGTTTTATATTCCAGAAGAAGGTTCTGGTTTACTTGTTATGGATGCACATCCAGCAGATTGCTTCTAGTAAGAATCAGGTGTCAGCAACTTTGGTTGGATGTTTTCTTAATGTATGCTTAAAATCGTGAATGATATAGGATTTTGCAGCAACAATTATTTTCTCATGGAACTTCTCTCTCTCTCTCTCTTGAAGCGCACACGCACACAAATCTTGGAGCTAATTTTCATAACAAGTATTGCGTCAAGTGTGGATCACAACGGATGTTGAATCTGGAAAATGCAATCTTTTAATTTGTCTGAAGACACAACCTTCTTTGTGTATCTCAAATAAAAGCTATCATTTCTCATGAAAACCTGTCTGGCCGATGAAACTGCTAAGATGAATTCTATACGTAATTTATGAGGATATGAGTGTCCACGACTAGGGGGGCTCTGGGTTTTACTCAAACAGTGAGGTTCCTCGCAAGAATACCTTCAAATGTAACCCCAGGTCCAAACGCCAGAATCAAGCCTAACTCATCAGGGCTTTGGTCTTCCTTTTTCATCTTCGTGCTCTCTTTCAGCATATAATCAAGAACGTACACAATGGTATTGCTACTGGCATTCCCATAGTCCTTTAAAGCTTGCCTACTCGCACTTAATTTCTCTGGCAACAAGTTGAGTCTCTTCTCAAGTCGATTCAAGATTGCCGGTCCACCTGGGTGGACTGCCCAGAAGATTTTGTTATAGTCTTCGTTGGATAAGCCAATAGGTTCCATCAACTTTGTGCAGAAGCCTTCGATGTTATCTTCAATGATCTGAGGAAGCTCTCTTGCCAGTTTAAAGCTTATTCCCTCTTCTGTCAACCTCCCGTCTATAATCTTTTCGGTATCTGGTAAGAAATGCTGAATGGCCGTATTAAGTTCGAAGAGAGGCTTCTCGATGCTTAAATCCGGGTCAGCCCCAATTATCATTGCTCCAGCACCATCGCCAAATAATGCAACCCCAACGAGATCATATGGCCTCTCAGCGCTCGGTGGCTTGTACCCAATAATGGTAGTTTCCGACGTAGCGAGCAAAACCCGGCTACCGGGATTGTTTTCTGCTATATCCTTTGCTACCCGAAGTCCGGCGACACCTCCAGAACAGCCAACGAAGTAGAGCATGACCCGGCGGGTTTCTGGGCTGAGCCTGAGCCCCTTCGCGAGATACAGGTCTCCACCTGGCAGACGTGCTTCACTAGACGAGACATAGACCAAGTGGGTAATGTCCGAGACGGGTCTGCCCCACTTCTTGATGCAAGCTTGCGAAGCCTCGATGGCCATCTCCGTCACTGCCTCATTGCAGATATCTAGCCTTTGCTTTACCGTGGGGAGGCCTTCCATGGCAAGCTCTGGATACTTCTCGAGGATCTCTTCGGACATGACCACATACCTCGTTTTGACTGTGGTTGTTTTGCCTGAGAGAGTCACAGAGAAAAGTCAAAGAGCATCACCTAGCATATGGCAAGCATAGCAGTGGGCATGCATAATAACGTGAAGGAAATCAAGGAGGGAAGTGGATTGAGAATATCACATAGACGAGTCAGCTTCTGTTTGAGGTCAGGATCATCACAGTTGGTGTTCCTGAAATACCCATCAACCAGAAACTCCTGCATGACAAGCTGGTTAGGAAAAGCCTTGCCAAGGGCCAAGATGGTGGCTTTCCCAGGACCGGCCTTCTTCCTTGCAAAAGTTCCCTGAGCTCTCTCTCCATTCTCCATCTCTCTCTGTCTCCGTCACCTAAGTTACTTAGTGCGCATTCGTGAGGGGGAGCTGCGCAGCCGCCTCTTTTCCTTGAAATGAAGCAAGCAGGGTGTGGTCCTATATATGGAAAACTAACTCGAAACTAGAAGTTCCAGCTTGAGCTGGAGCAAATAGAATACGCTAGGCAGGAGTGATGTCCTGTGGGGGAGATATGAATCGGATATGGTTTTAGTTGGAGGGAAAAGATTAGTTGAGAAGCAAGGCATACATGGGGGTCATGTTTAGTGATATTGGTATGAATCTGGTAAAGTATAGGCTACACACTTTCTTTAACATGAACACCGATTCATGCATGTCCCTTTGGAGTTGGCTACCACAGCTCTATCACCAGTTCTTTTCGAAATAACGAAACACAATATCTCAATGTAAAGATCATCAAGAATAAAAATAGATGAGCGGCCTATGCAGCTTCGCTTCTCAGAGCAAGAAGAATTTCGTGAATTGTTTTCTTATTTTGTCAATCCGAATAGAGCAACCCCTGACTAAGCAGCTGCAAATTATCCAACAACCTGAAGGAACTTCTCCAACAATTAGTGATATGCCTTTGTACTGAAGTAACTAATTGCATCCTACAAACAATACGTAAAAAGGAAGAAAGAACACACTCAATCTCGTCTTTGGTAATTAGTTTTCTGACCTGTTCTCTGGTGAAGCCTCTCTGGTGAGAGGTCGAGGATCACCGGATCTTTCTTGCAAGAGTGAGGGATTTGGAACTTGAATGATGAGCAATTTCCTTGTTGGGCGGTGAAAGCGCCGACGTTGACCATATGACTTCGTCCGTAGTCCACGTCCATCCTAACTTCCAACCCGGTTTTTCGACGTGGTGATACTGGTGGTAGTTCTGGATGTTCACTCTCGCTTGAACAAAAAGAACATATTAGCCAGAGCAAGAGGAGTTTCAGCAGGTGAACTCTTGCAACATCTCAAGAGTTGCAGCCTGCCTTCTATGTGAAAAGTGACCACATTGCATATCCAATGTAAAAGTTTTCCCATATGGAACTGTGACAGGCTATCCAGAAATAAAGCAGATGGTATCACTATGTTGCTCCTTAAGCAGAAGGCAAAGTTTGTACAATGTCGCCTAATCAGGCCTTGGCTTACCTAAGTTACGAGATTAGTGGAGTATTTTATGAATTTAAGATTTACTTGCCTAATGTTGATCTTCCTTGTCAAAGGAAAAAGTGTCAAGACGAAATGTGTTTTTAGTGAATATATGAAACTTCGTTTATCCAACATATATAATTGACGAATACGCTTAATTTTGTGTTTCACGAAAACACAATAATGTGCTATTTGATTCTAGATTTGTAACATCAATAATGAATTCTTAATAACGATGGTAAAATAACAGAGCCGGCAACCCATCGGTCAGATATATCGATGTAATTTACGTATGATCTTAGAGACTTACAACCATCAATATAGTACTAACTTTCCATCTATGTTATATGTTTTTCTACTCAAATCTAAATCATAGCAGGGAGAACAGTAACTTAAAACCGAGTTTGTGAACATCAGAAATTAAAATATCGAAACATATCGTGACTTTCCACTTCAAACACTCATCCCCTGCTGCTTCAACAAAACTAAGACTCTCGAGAGAACTCCCAGGGTTTCCGCGGCCAACACTGTCTCCTGCGTAGATCGAGCTTGCGAACCCATGATGGAGCAGCAACCCCCCGGCCCAGTCACGAACCACTCCGGCGAGCCCTTCGACATCGCGCAGTCAACGTTAAATTTTGAGGGTTGCCCCTTCGCTGGGGGCCGCCGCGCCCGAGGTGTGCCCGCAGCTCCCTTTTCCTTTCCGTCCCTGGGTGGTTGGTTCCATCTCAAGAAACTCGCATGCTCCGTCACTGCGAGCTCTAGTTATGCGGCTCGGGACAGGGTTGGCGGGCTCGGAAGATGAAATGCGTTCCGCGCCTACCAAATTAGCCAAAGCAGCATTCCGGCGGTTTCCTCGTTTGGCAACAGGTTCGTGTGTTTGATTCGAAAGCACCGCACTGCCGTATTCATTTGTGTAGACGAGTAATGGGTTGGTTTAAAAGATGTAGCTTCAGCCGCGGGTGCCCGCCCATATTGATATAGCCTGCTGCCCATTTGCAAATAAGGAAGACGTGCTCCACCGGGAGTAGGTATCCCAAGTCACCATCGTTGAACCGACGACATTTCGAAATCTATCACGACCAGCTTTGGTAGCAAGGGAACACTTTCTCGGGAAAAGAAGCAGGAAGGGAAGCAGATTTTCTCGGGACTTTCTGCTTCCCCTTTTAGCCTCTGCTGATAATCCTAGCGAAAAACAGCCAAAGCATCAGATAGAGGGAGAGAGAGGGTGAGAGGGATCGTGATCTACACTGCTGCTCGCGCTGACTGAGATTGACATCGAGGACGATGAGCGGAATAGCCTTAGTCCTTGAGATCGTGAGGAAAAACCCGAGCTTCCATTCCACCCAATCTTTGCACTCCTATGGACATTTCTCGGCCGCCTCCTTACCCGCCTCCGCCGCTCCTTTTGCAGCGAGGTTCCTCTTCGGGTATGGTCTCATTCTACCCGCGATCTCAGGGTATCGTCCAGTACCTTTTAGACATCACTAGCCTCTTGTCTATGGTTTCTTGCAAAAACCTTAATACTTTTTTCAGATGAAATTTGTATTGTCCACTGTTGAGACGAGTCTACGATGTGGCACCATAATACGGTTCCTGCAATATATTAAGGGAGCTTGGGAAATCAGGGCTTTTGGTTTTTGCGTGGAGATCGGAGTGACATGTTGGTATCTTGAGCTGTGAAGGTTTTACTTTGGTAATCCCACAGCAATGAAAGCTAGTAACCGGGGGCGATTATCTTTTGCGTTGCAATTGTTGTGTGTGGGGTATGTCATTAGGGTCTGACTGAGAGTGATTAGGGAATGGAATGTCCATCATTCAGTCTATCATGAATATAGCGTGATTCGGTATTATTTGCGATGTGGTTGACTTGGTGTTATGGAATATATACCAAATTTAGGGTCGCTTTTAGTTGCTAGGCATTTACTATCAATGCAAAATTCTTCGGACCCTAATTATGTATTCGGATGATATGGATTTTTTTTTGGCTTGACCAAGTGTTGAGATGAAAATCTCCTAGTTCTCGGGGGTGAAGTGCAGAAAGTTAGGACCGTTCATTTCTTAATAATCAGTAGTTTTTGCTGTGTATGTTGTATGTCTAGTGCAAGCTGATGCTAGGGACTTTAAGGTCAATGTAAACACAAGTTGTGTCCTGATGGAGGTTTATCTTAGATAAACTGTCTTGTTGTCCTTCTCATATTTTCTTGAGATGGTGGTCGGTGATGTTTGCTTTCACTGGTATATTCTTTTTCTCTTCCTTTGGTATGATTATGAGGGATGGGCAGCTATTGGCCCCAAAAGAAAATGCATATGCATACTTTCTTGTTACTTTGAGATTTCAATGATTAAAAGTTTGACTCTGCTTGGCTACAATTTGTGTTAGTCTCTATTAGCCTTTTAGCTGAAATTTTCTTCCTTCTCTCTCTTATCCTTCATGATATCTGAATTATCATTCTCGTGCAGCAGTTTTAAGTTACCTGTCGCATACTGCAATGCTGGGACAGCATGGTCTGAAGATTTTGTTTCTAGTACACAAAGTAATTTCGAGAATATATTGCGTGACAAATCTCTGAAACATGGGGCCAAGATATACAAAATAGAGATGAAGCCTCTCTTTTCAGCTTTTGAGTTTAGGACATTTGTCTTGACTTCGTTAAGGTCTTTTCTACAGTCCTATTTGCCACTTTTACAGTCCAGTATCCAGGAGGAGGAGGATGATAACTTCCTGCAGGATGCCATGGAGGAGCGCCAAGTAGATATGGTCGTTCCCTTCAAAAATTCTGTCAAACAGATCATTCTGGAGGTGAGTGCGTATATGTTCCAAAGTCTTGAATGCAGTTAACAACACCGTGAAAGCTTTCCATCCCATTCCTAAGTATGATTCTCTTTTACTGGCAGAGAAGCACACATTCCATGCAAAAAGATAGGGGAAAAAAGGGGGGGGGGGGGTTTCAAATGTGTAAAGAAAGAAACATTGCTGATTGAGAAATAAAATTAAGTTCTAATCATGAAACTGTGGAAGAATTATGGGAATGGCATTTTATTTGGCATTTTTAATAACAACCATGAAGTTTTTTGGAAATTTTTGGTAACAGTTTATAGTCATTGCACAGTTCTGTGCTATTAGGATTCTTCAACATACTCTAGTAGTTTCGTCTGGGGCAGATATGGATTGCAGAATAACCTTCCAGGCTTTACCGTGTCATGTTTATGGTCTCTTTTGTTTGGTTACACAGTAATAACAATGATAGTAATGTCAAAGTTCAATGTCTTGTAGGACTTTGCGGCGAGTTATGGTTGATTCACTGTTGCTTCTCTTTTGAAGGAAAAAGTTTGGGAGAAGGAACAAGAAAAACTCAAACTTCGTCTAGTAAACGGAACTATTTTTTTCTTCTCCAGACTACAGTTGTAACTACTAGACAGGTTTTGGAAAGGCTTGCTGTCCATTATGTTTCACAAAGAATGGCATGGAAACTTCTTAAAGGTACTTTTCTCACAACTCAGCATATGCGTGAATTAATCCAGCATCACCCGACTAATCTTTTCTAGACTATGTTCAGATGTTCCCAAATCCACTACACGCAAGGCGCAAAGAGGGATGCCGATTTTAGTTTATATATGGAGTGTTAGCAGGACAACTTTTAGAGGTCAATTCCTTTATATTTACAACTTTCTTCACTGCTGTGATGAGTTGCTCGACCATCTATCTTATCATTTATGCCTATCATGTACCTGAACAGGGCAGTTGCTAGGAACTGCAGCCGCATGGCTCGTTCAAGTAGGAATTGAAACTTGCCGATGCTTGTCTAGTATATTCAAGTCCAGGGAAGAAGATGAAGTGGATCCAGTAGAGCAAGTTATAATTCTCGGGAAGGTCTATATAGTTACTGTGAAGTGTAGTGCATCCCTGATTTTTGCTTCGATTGAAGCAGGGATGGGTGCCACTATTATGCGCCCTTCACTCGGGCAGTGGATTGGTAAGCTCTTTTTGGTTGTGCACTCATTGCACCCCACACCGGCCCCCCCGTCGCTCCGCCCCTTACCACACCAAAGTTGATCATCTAATAACTGTCCATAAGGATGCATACATCTACATTGCTATATCCAAATTCTAATGTTGTGTATTTGGTTTGTAGGCTTTGTTCTCGGCGACTTAGCTGGCCCAATTATTGTGTCATTTTGCTTTGAGAAATATCTCCAGTTGGCTCTATAAAGTGTTGGCTTCCCATTCTCTTGCATGGAGCTACCCTTATCTCGGGGTCTAGCTTGACTTGAAGCATTCAGCTGATGATGTTCGTCGGAAGATAATAGGATTTTGCAGCAACAATTATTTTCTCATGGAACTACTCACTCTCTCTTGAAGCGCACACGCTCACAATTCTCAGAGCTAATTTGCATAACAAGTATTGCGTCAAGGGTGGATCACAACGGATGTTGAATCTGGAAATGCAATCTCTTAAATTGTCTGAAGACACAACCTTCTTTGTATAATATCTCAAATAAAAGCTATCATTTCTCATGAAAACCTGTCTTGCCAATGAAATTGCAAAGATTGGTAAGGTGATAAATTCTATATGTAATATATGAGGACATGAATGTCCACAACTAGGGGGGTTCTGGGTTTTACTCAAACAGTGAGGTTCCTCGCAAGAATACCTTCAAATGTAATTCCAGGTCCAAACGCCAGAATCAAGCCGAACTTGTTACGACTTTGGTCTTCCTTTTTCATCTTCATGCTCTCTTCCAGCATATAATCAAGAACATATACAATGGTATTGCTACTGGCATTCCCATAGTCCTTTAAAGCTTGCCTACTCGCACTTAATTTCTCTGGCAACAAGTCGAGTCTCTTCTCGAGTCGATTCAAGATTGCTGGTCCACCTGGGTGGACTGCCCAGAAGATTTTGTTATAGTCTTTGTCGGATAAACCAATAGGTTCCATCAACTTCGAGCAGAACCCTTGGATGTTATCTTCGATGATCTGAGGAAGCTCTCTCGCCAGTTTAAAGCTTATTCCCTCTTCCGTCAACCTCCCGTCTATAATTTTTTCGGTATCTGGTAAGAAATGCTGAATGGCCGTATTAAGTTCGAAGAGAGGCTTCTCAATGCTTAAATCCGGGTCAGCCCCAATTATCATTGCCCCGGCACCATCGCCAAATAACGCAACCCCAACGAGATCATATGGCCTCTCAGCGCTCGGTGGCTTGTACCCAATAATGGTAGTTTCTGACGTAGCGAGCAAAACCCGGCTACCGGGATTGTTTTCTGCTATATCCTTTGCTACCCGAAGTCCGGCGACACCTCCAGAGCAGCCAACGAAGTAGAGCATGACCCGGCGGGTTTCTGGGCTGAGCCCGAGCCCCTTCGCGAGATAAAGGTCTCCACCTGGTAAACGTGCTTCGCTAGACGAGACATAGACCAAGTGGGTAATGTCAGACACGGGTCTACCCCACCTCTTGATGCAAGCTTGCGAAGCCACGATGGCCATCTCCGTCACTGCCTCATTGCAGATATCTAGTCTTTGCTTTACCGTGGGGAGGCCTTCCATGGCAAGCTCTGGATACTTCTCGAGAATCTCTTCGGACATGACCACATACCTCGTTTTGACTGTTGTTGTTTTGCCTGAGAGAGGCACAGAGAAAAGTCAAAGAGCATTACCGAGCATATGGCAAGCATAGCAGTGGGCATGCATAATAACGTGAAGGAAATCAAGGAGGGAAGTGTATTGAGAGTATCACATAGACGAGTCAGCTTCTGTTTGAGATCAGGATCATCACAGTTGGTGTTCCTGAAATACCCATCAACCAGAAACTCCTGCATGACAAGCTGGTTAGGAAAAGCCTTGCCCAGGGCCAAGATGGTGGCTTTCCCAGGACCGGCCTTTTTCCTGGCAAAAGATCCCTGAGCTCTCTCTCCATTCTCCATCTCTCTCTGTCTCCGTCACCTAAGTTATTTAGCGTGCATTCGCTAGGGGGAGCTTTGCGGACGCCTCTTTACCTTGAAATGAAGCAAGCAGGGTGTGTTCCTATATATAGAAAACTAACCCGAAACTAAAAGTTCCAGCTTGAGCTGGAGCAAATAGAATAAGCTAGGTAGGAGTGATGCCCTATGGGGAGGTACAAGGATATGGTTTTAGTTGGAGGGAAAGGATTAGTTGAGAAGCAAGGCATACATGGGGGTCATGTTCAGTGATGTTGGTATGAATCTGGAAAAGTATAGGCGACACACTTTCTTTAACATGAACACCTATTCATACATGTCCCTTTGGAGTTAGCTACAACAACTCTATCACCAGTTCTTTTCGAAATCAAGGAACACAATATCTCAATGTAAAGATCATCAAGAAAAAGAGGCCTGTGCAGCTTCGCTTCTCAGAGCAAGAAGAATTTCATGAAGTGTTTTCTTATTTTTCAATCCTAATAGAGCAACCCCCTGACTAGGCAGCTGCAATTATCCAACGATCCGAAGGAACTTCTCCAACAATTAGTGATATGCCTTTGTAATGAAGTTACTAATCGCATCCTACAAACAATATGTAAAAAGGAAGGAAGAACACTCTTATTCTTGTCTTTGGTAATTAGTTCACTCACGAAAGGTTCGGTGTCAAATATATTTGCATCACTGGAGGTTCCTTTTGTCACATATAAATGATTTAGCAGTAAGATTACTCTATCTAAAAGAGACGGTTTAGAAGAATTGAAGCAACCGCATAACATATTGGCAAATTCTGTTAGGAATTTTAGCAAATTTATTATCAGTCTCTTTCAAGAGGTAAATCTCAATGATTACAGGTAGTGAATACAGAAGGAACTAGTCTCTTACAATTAAAGGTAACATATTAGATGAGTAGGGATAAAAAAACTCAACACTCCACAACAATCCTGTCTAGATTTGTGCCATCCCTCATAGGATCTGAGATGGATAAAAAAATAACTTGAGATTTGATAAGCTCCAAAATTTATTTATCAGAACCAGGAATTCACTAGATTGAGAGTTAATGTGATTATCAGCAGAAGGAATAAGTGAGGAATGGGATTTAGACTCGAGCTGCCATTAGGCAGCACTGGAAAATTGTCTGGAAGAGGCATTTGGCAGCTTTCACCGTTGAAATATATTCTTCGTGGAAAAGCCCAACCATTCCCTAGAGTGAATGATTCCATGTCTTTCTTCAGTAGTATTTCTGTTGTGACCGAACTGAGTTGATCTTTGTCTGCCTGCAGAAGTTCAGTGTTGTAGTAGTCTATTCCCCAGAAGAGAGCAACCTCATCTGCAAATATTTTCCACAGATGCAAGGCAAGCAATTGTTACATTCTTTTAGGTGTTCAAACTTCACAGCCGTATGATTTCATTATTCTTCTGATCCATGAAAGTTCATTCTGCAAATGTGGAATGTCCATTAAGTTATTCTATTGGTTAAGATTTCTCTCCTGTCAATATGTGGTTATTTGGTATCCTAGTTAATCTAACTTAGCCCTGCATAGTATACAAAGACAAAAATTGATTAAATTGCAATTTGAAAAGTCTCATAAATCATGATTGGTTTGCTGACAATCTTTGAAAAGGTAAGTTAGCAGTCACCTTCCAATCCGACGGTTGGAAGAACTGAACTGTTGAAGCTATATGTTGTCGTGGACTGGCCAAAACCGGGATGTTGGACCAAGACATTCCAATTGGAGTAGTTTCTCTTGTAATTATAGTTAGAGACTGTTAATTTCACCCGCCAGTGATCTAAATAGTTGTTCTTAAGGTGCCAGTGAACACGAGTTGGGCAGTTATGATCGGTGCATTGCACAATGTCTGTATTGCTGAGGGCATCTGACTGAGGCAGGGCAGTTCCTTCACTGGTATATACTCATATAGTAAGATACTTGAATTATCAGATCAGGGTATGCTCTTTTTATGTGGGGATGAGCAGTTGACAATGACTTACCTTATGCAGGAAGAAGTGTTGGGGCCCGCTTCTTTACATCCACAGCTGCATGTTGGACAAGAAGTGATGCGAGGGTTATAAAATGTCGATAGCGACACGCAGCAGACTGGTGCTTTGTTTGCCAAAAAGCTGGAATACAGGCAAGTTGATTTCCATGTTCCTGTACATCACAGTTTAGATGGCGAGACTTGAGGTGAAATCAGGTAGAATTTGGTCTAGAAGCAAAGTAAACATGATCCTATCTCAAAATTAATTAGGAGCAGGCCAAAAATTTGTGTAACCGAAACTCCCCCACACATAACACACACTCAAAGCACGAGAACCATCAAATAAAATTGTCGTTCTCAATCATTTTCTAGTCTAACTTTTTAAGGCAGTCAGAAGCGCGAAGAACAGCAATACCTACTCCCATTCTGGGTCATTTATCTGTTATGCAGGTACAATACAAAAAGGATAAATTTTCAATCATGGTATCAACTTTTCGACCAAACGAAATCATGGTATCAATGATCAGACTCCACGTACCTTCTCCAAGAAAAGTGCATTTTTCAACTCATCTACCCCTTTTGCATGCACAGAAACTAATTGCAAGGAATACTACTGCTAATATGCCACATGTCAGTAATCTATCTATCACCAACACCAGGCATATCAGCCCTTTGGCAATGGGATCTTTCTGTAATAGTTTTGTATAGTTCTTCACAGCAAGCAGTACTTACTGAAAACCTGAACTTCTCTCCTCCCACCAATATCTGAAGAAACTGTCGGATCAGTGTCGACGACTGGGCCACACGTGTAACCGGGACCTGGCGCCATCAGAGTGAGATTTAGAGGTGCATATCCAGTAGAGTTTCCCTCCAAGTTTCCAACTTGAATCTCAAAAGAAGAGTATGACTTGGAAGGATCTATAGCCCACGCTGATAGGAGGCCGCCGCGGCAACAGTCTTCTGACCTGTTCTCTGGTGAAGCCTCTGGTATGAGATCGAGGATCATGGGATCTTTCTTGCAAGAGTGAGGGATTTGGAACTTGAATGATGAGCAATTCCCTTGTTGGGTGGCAAAAGCGCCCGACGTTGACCATATGACTTCGTCCCTAGCCCACGTCCATCCTAACTTCCAACCTGGTTTTTCAACGTGGCGATACTGGTGGTAGTTCTGGATTGTCACTCTCGCCTGAACAAAAAGAACATATTAGCCAGAGAAAGAGGAGTTTCACCAGGTGAACTCTTGTAACATCTTAAAGTTGCAGCCTGCCTTCTATGTGAAAAGTGACCACATTGCATATCCATTGTAAAAGTTTTCCCATATGGAACTGTGACAGGCTATCCAGAAATAAAGCAGATGGTATCGCTATGTTGCTTCTTAAGCAGCAGGCAAAGTTTATACAATGCGATTTCATGTTAGCATCACTCCAACTAGAACTGATCAAATAGTATTCTTTATTTTTTTGGTAGAGACCAACCAAATAGTGTTCAATCTTGTTAAAAATGTGACTCAATGATAATTTCCTGGCATGTACTCGGAAAAGTTTCTCAGAGGATGTCTGAAACTCAATCTTAGCATTTGTAGGATAAACTACCAAGAGCAATATACCACCCGCCTGGGTGGCGCGGTTGGAAAGGGTACTCTTCCTCTCGCAAAAGGTTGAGTGTTCGAATCCCGGGCGCCGCAGGGTGACTTAACCGGTGCACGTGTGTGGTGGCTAGCACGTGTCGCCCCCAGGGTTTACCTCCCGGCTGTCGGCCGTGCGGGGGTTCCCTGGGTTACCAAAAAAAAGAAAAACTACCAAGAGCAGTGTTGCGCAGTATAATTGCCAGAATCCTAAGCAGAAACCAAATCACAGTTCTTCAAATATTTAGTACTTTGCATAGTGATCACTGACCATATATCCATCGGTCGTCCACTTATAAATGTCAAAAGTTACTGTAATGTTTCCGTTTGGGTCCATGGGGTCATAGCAATCTGCAAGCAGGATTAAGAAAGAAGAAGAGCAACATGACTAACTAACAAACAACTACTGAACTTTGAAAGAGTAACAAATCAAGAATAGGGATTGTTACCTGATAAATTGCACAAAGTAAGTACTATTGCAGACACAAGAGCTAGTGGACTAATACGACCGAAGATTATTAGCTTCATCTTCTCTATGAAGATTACCAAGAAGCTGTTTTGACTCGGAGGAAGGCTTTAGAGACTCGGTCTTATTATCCACGGTTAGTAACCCACCTACTTTCTTGAACAGACCATGCCCAGTTGGAGCAAAACAAGAATCATAGGAAACTTCAACGTGATATTACCAGACAAAGACTCATCTAGAAAAATTCCTGATAGACCCTATCTACAAAGCAACACCAGATGAGTTCTTTTTTAAGGCGTCTTTCTTGTCGTTCCTAGCATCCGACGCCCTTCTTGGACGGCACAGAGATGACACCAAGAATGTTTATAGTATGACACAGTTCGTTATCTACTGTACAAGGAAAGCCCATAAAGTAAAGGCAAAAGGAAAAAAACTAGACACTTAGGCTGCGCATGACAACGATTCTGTGCCCGGGAACAGATTCTGTTAAGAAATGATTCTATTTTATTCTGTGCCCGGAATTGATTCTGAGCATTTTAAGGCGTTTGTTAATGGCCCAAAATTCCATCCCTAGAATAGAAAAAGAACAGAAATGCGTTTGGTAACGCCACAAAATTTCTTTTTATTAATAATATTGTTAAATATTTTAATATTTCTTTCTTTTTTTTCTTTTCTTTTTTTCTTTTCCTCCTTCTTGGCCATGGCCTACTTGCCGGCCATGACCGGTAAAATATTTTTTTATTAATAATATTTTTATTAAAAGTATTTTTCTTTTTTTTGCCACGGCCTGGTCGCCGACCATGACCAGTAAAATATTTTTATTATTAATAATTTTTTTTATTAAAATATTTTTATTAAAAATATTTTTATTTTTTTTTTGCCATAGCCTGGTTGCCGCCCATGGCCGGTAAAATATTTTTTTTGTTAATAATATTTTTTATTAAAAATATACTTTTTTATTTTTTTAGGCCATGGCCTGATCGCCGGCCATGGCCGGTAAAATATATTTTTTATTAAAATATTTTTATTAAAAACATATATTTTTATTTTTTTTGCCATGGCCTGGTCGCCGGCCATGGCCTGATCGCTGGCCATGGCTGGTAAAATATTTTTTTTATTAAAAATATATTTTTTTCTTTTTTTTGCCATGGCCTGATCGCTAGCCATGGCCTGTAATTTTTTTTTTATTAATAATATTTTTATTTAAAATATACATTTTTTTTGGCCACGGCCATGTCGCTGGCCATGGCCGGTAAAATATATTTTTTATTAAAGTATTTTTATTAAAAATATATACCTTTTCTATTATTGCCATGGCCTGGTCACCGACCATGACAGGTAAAATATTTTTTTATTAATAATATTTTTTATTAAAATATTTTTATTAAAAATATATTTTTTTCTTTTTTTTGGCCATGGCCTGATCGCCGGCCATGACCGGTAAAATATTTTTTTATTTTAATAATATTTTTTTATTAATAATATTTTTTATTAAAATATTTATTCTCGTCAGATCCGGCGAGGGCGGTCTTCGGGCCGGACATTAGAAGCTACATTAAAAACCAAGAAAAGGAAGAAGAAAAAAAAATTGATTCTCAAAATTGTTCCCAGAATCAAGAAGCTACTTTTTTTTTTATTCTTGAAAACTGATTCTGGGAACAATTTTTGACAAAATGGGCCCAGAATCAAAAAATTAAACAAACGCATTTCTGTTCCCAAACTGATTCTGGGAACAAAAGAACAGAATCAAACACTGTTTGGCAAGTTGTTATGCGCAGCCTTATTCTATAAGAATGTGGGATGTACACAACCAAATATATAATACACTACACATAAAATACCTGTGAAAAAAACCAATGGGATTTATTAATTTAGTGGATAAATAATGAATGTGTATGCGAACACCTAATCAGGCCTTGTCTTACCTAGTTCATGAGATCAGTGGAGTACTTCATGAATATGAGGTTTACTTGCCTAAGTTGATCTTCCTTGCCGTAGGAAAATTGTCAAGACAAAATGTTTCTCGTAGTGCACATATGAAACTCTGTTGTTCCAAGATATATAATTAACGAATGCGTCTAATTATGTGTTTCACAAAAACATAATAATGTTTAGTTTAGTTCTAGATTTGAAGAGTTGATAATAAAATCTAAATAATGGGGGTGAAATAGTACAACTGACAACCCATTAGTCAGATACACTGATGTAATTTACATACAACCTTAAGAACTCACAACCATCAATATATTATATGTTTTCTACTCAAATCTAAATCATAGCAGTGAGAATAGTAATTTACGAGTGAAATTAATAGTACTATCAGAGGGACTCGTAAATTCGAAAAAAATCTTAATAACCTGTTATGGATTTGCAGGGTAGAATATTTATTTCTTTTGTAAGTTACCATTGTCAATCGACACTACTAATGAAGTGCATCAACATTTCGAAATCTACTATCGGAGGGACTCGTAAGTTTTAAGAAATTGATAATAATTTACTATGAATTCGCAGCGGTGGAATACTTTATTCCTTCGTAAGTGACAACTGTCAACGAACACTACTAATAAAGTATATCACCATTTGGTAAATTAACTATAGGAGGGACTCGTAAATTCGAAAAAAATGTTAATAATCTTCCTTGAGTTGAAACGGTGAAATACGAATCGACTTAGCAAACAAAGTGAGTCTACACCAATTACAATGGTTGCGTGAGGGGAATAGCGTAGCTTGGTTTGCTGGTCTTTCTTAGTCTTTCTCGCTTGTGTTTTCTATAGAAAATTCGATACTCCTAGGAAACTCACTCCCACTGGTTTTCATGACAAGGGTTTGCAAATTTTTTAAAGCGAAGAGGCATGTTTTGTCAGAGTAGATGCTTCCGGGATGCCAAGGGTGCGAATGGTAACCATTCTGCTCCAGAAATCAAATTCTTGCCAGAAATTGATTTCTGGAGAAGAAATCTGTTTGGTAAAACATGACTAATTCTGCTCCAGAAATGGATTTCTGGAATAGAAATCTATTTTGATTTGTTGATTTTTTTTGCACCTAAAAAAATTTAAATTTTACTCAAAGTGGGTGGCCACATGTATTATAAGCCATTCTGTAAAGTTTTGAAATTTTTGATTTTTTTTAATTTTTTTTGGGCACCTAAAAAAATTTAAATTTCACTCAAAGTGAGTGGCCACAGCTATTCTAAACCATTTTGTGAAGTTTTGAATTTTTTATTTTTTTTATTTTTTTATTTTTTTGGGCACCTAAAAAAATTTAAATTTTACTCAAAGTGGGTGGCTACAGATATTCAAAGCCATTCTGTGAAGTTTTGAAATTTTTTATTTTTTTTTATTTTTTTGGGCAACTCAAAAAATTTAAATTTCACTCAAAGTGGGTGGCTACAGGTATTTTAAGTCATTTTGTGAAGTTTTGAAAATTTTTATTTTTTTATTATTTCCTTTTTTTGGGCACCTCAAAAAATTTAAATTTCACTCAAAGTTGGTGGTCACAGGTATTTTAAGCCATTTTGTGAAGTTTTGAAATTTTTGATTTTTTTGAGGCACCTCAAAAAATTTAAATTTCACTCAAAGTGGGTAGCCACATGTGTTTTAAGCTATTCTGTGAAGTTTTGAAATTTTTGATTTTTTTTTATTTTTAAAAAAAAATTCACCAAATTTCATATTTTCCCGAAATTTGACTTTTTTTATTTTCTGGAAATTTTTATGAATTTTTCTAGAATTTTTCAATTTTTATGCATTTTATGAAAAAAAAAATTGTGAAAAAATAGGGAGAATACATTCCGGAATCAAGAAGCTACAAAAAGTAGCTTCTCTTTTTCTTGCCAAAAACTCATTCCGGAATAAAAAATGCACTCTGGAATCAAGAATGCATTCTGGAATCAAGTATTTTTAACAAACGCATTTTTATTCCAGAATGCAAAAATCGCTCCAGAATGCATTCCGGAAATTTTTTAACAAACGCCATTATGTTCCGGAATGCATTCCAGAACAGAATTTTTATTCCGGAATGCATTTCATGCGCACCCTAAGTTTCGTAAATTCTAGAAACCCTTTTCAATCTTGACAGTAGAGAGAGCCATTTGGACTTGTGTAATTCTCTAGATTTGAAGCATTTACGAGGCCTAGCGCACGAATTAGCACGAGAATATCCCATAAATTGCCAAAACCTTCTTATATTTTCTAGGCAGACCAGACCCAACATATTCGGATTTCTCATCCCATCGGTTTCCTCTCTTGCACGTACCGCGTTCAACTTTGCCAACTGGTGTGCAACATCTTATCCTAGGTCACAGGTTGATGTCTCCTAAGATTATTTACTTGATTTAGCTAATGTTACGTTAAGATTTAAGGACTACACAGTCTCCGGCATACCAAGAGCTCAAGGGTAATATGTACGGCACGGACGGAAGTATGTGGCTGAGGATTGAGACAATCTTTGATAGGGACGGACCACCCTGGTCCCCTACGTGAGAACATGGTGCTCGATGCATTCCATTTATCGAGCCTAATCAATGAGGATTCGGTGATTATGGCTCATAATCATCGGCCATCTGTACATGATTAGGACCATGCCAAAGGTCGTTTATCTGGCATGCAAAGATCTTGTAATTTAAACGTACAAAGTGGTTATGTCCTCATAAAATAAAGGTACCAAAAAGGTTCAAATTGCAAGACAGTCGACAGCCAGCCACCATGTCTTTTCCCCTATTTATTGTCTGCTAACTTATCCGGCCAATCAATAGGGGATGCATTACTGGTAGGTGCAGTTCCCGAGTTCCATGCCACAATCAGGCATGCTTCTCATGATCATAGGTCCCTCCCACTCATCAGGTCCTTAGGTAGCACACTCCAGATAGTACAGAAATTAAATATGCAAATCAGATGAGCTGTTTAGGTTTGGATTGATGTCATGGAGCAGTAATGAAAACCAAAGCATGGTCACTTGTCATGAGATCTATAATCTTTGTGTAATCATCTTTATGCACAACCCATAAATGCAAATTTAGTCGAGGTAGTCCTGAGTAGCTAGGGTTTGACATGGTGATGCATGTCGAGATGGACAAACTAGCAAGGGCTTTATTGGGCACCTAGAATGTTTTACAAAATATAGTTAGTACTTGTAAAATTAGACATAAAGCACTCAAAATTACGCATTGTACCATGATATATATAATCGAGTCTAGTCGAGGCGAACTCGAGTTTATCTAGCTCGAGTAGGATATATAATGCTTACCAAAGCTTGAGTCGAGTTTCACAGCGCCCTCGATAAACTGCTTTATATCTCTATTCACCGGAATCAGTGTAGTGGCACCTTGTGCCATGCCATGCTTGTCTAGATAGCGAACATTTCTGACAGTTTGGCCTTAAAGGCAATAACGAAATGTCAACGTGAACATAGCTGAGTGGAACCATCACGACATAAATCAGCAGGAGACTACTTGCAAGTAGTTGCCGATAATGCAGTTAGACGTACGTCAATTCATCCGCATTAAATGCCCAATGTGATGTCTTCAAGCACAGAACTCGTAAAATCTATTAAAAGCTCCTCGCGCTTCATTTTGGAACTGTATATACACAACCGAGGCGAAGCCCCATTTTGAGAAAGCGAAAGATATCCAGGGATGGCTGGACATGGAGTTGTTGCAGAAGATGAAGAGAGCGTTCTTAGTGGAAGCAAAGTCAAGCCATTTGCTACCCCAATGTAAGCATCAAAGTGTTCCTAGCTACTCTTCAACATTAATTTGGTTGGCACATTCTTTTAAGTGTTTCTTCAGTCTGGATTCCGTTTCAGCATTTTGGTCCATTCATGAGTGTCTTGATGTGATTTTGCAGTGAGGAACGGAGGAATATGAAGGACACAGGAAGGCATAAGCCCGCTTCCCTGACTGAGATCTTGGGCTTGAAGGACTTCTTCTCTTTGGAGGTCAATATGCGCTCATATACTTTAACCTTCTCCCTCAATATTATAAGAGAAAAGATTCATTGTACTTCGAAAATTGTAATTCATGTCGTAATTGCCAGGTATGGCGAGCATCGTTGGCGGAGCTCGTAGGCATGGCGGTGCTCGTGTTCGCCTTGGACACCATAGTGATCTCCTCCTATGAGACCAAAACCAAAACGCCGAACCTAGTCATGTCGTTCCTCATCGCCATCACCGTGGCCATCCTCCTCCTTGCCACGTCGCCTGTCTCCGGTGGCCACATCAACCCCGTCATCACTTTCTCTGCCGCGCTCACCGGCCTCATCTCCCTCTCGAGGGCCACCATCTACATTCTGGCCCAGTGTGGCGGCGCCGTGCTCGGAGCGCTCGCGCTTGAAGCCGTGGTCAACAGCAAGATCGAGCAAACCTTCTCCCTTGGAGGCTGCACGCTCAACATCGTCGTGCCCGGCCCGGAGGGGCCTGTCACAATCGGGCTCGAGTTGGTCCAGGCCCTATGGCTCGAGATAATTTGTACCTTTGTGTTCCTATTCGCGTCGATCTGGATAGCCTTCGATCATCGCCAGGCGAAAGCCCTGGGCCGGGTTGTCATCTTCAGCATCATCGGAGCAGTGGTCGGGCTCCTCGTGTTCATCTCGACCACCGTCACCGCGACGAAAGGCTATGCGGGAGTGGGGATGAACCCGGCGAGGTGTTTGGGCCCGGCCCTTGTGAGAGGAGGCCATCTTTGGAATGGGCATTGGGTGTTTTGGGTCGGGCCGACCATCGCTTGTGTGGGATTCTACCTCTACGTGAAGATCATTCCGACGAAGCATTTTCATCATGCCGAGGGTTACAAGTATGATGTGTTGAACATTTTGAAGGCTCCATTTGCTTAAAATGAGACATGATGTTCCATGTAACTCTAGATAATCAGGTCTTCAATTCCGTACACCTAAATTATGAAAAAATATGGTAACTGTGCTTAGCATTTGGGACTACAAATGTATTACCCCTTATTAGCCCTTGAAGGTGTCAAAACTAATCAGTAATTAAATCAGCACAAGGTCTTTGATAATGAGACAAAGACTCTTTGAATATGAATGTGATGGTTAAAGCACACCAGAAGTCTTAAAACTTATCACGAAATTGTAATTGAGTTTTAAAACTCTCAAAAAGTACAATCAAGTCCTACAACTTGTTACCAAAGTATAATCAAGTCATAAAATTTATCACAAAAGTGCAATCGATAAAATAATCAACACCAATGCTTTGCCTTCCTCAAGGGATTTCCAGTTCGGTGCTATAGTGAGGATGAAGTAGTACTCGACTGCAATCGGGTTGATCAAGCACTTGCATTCGTTGGAAATTGAAGATATGGGTGAGGCCGGGCAAGGGTCCAGGCGACCCTTGCCCGCCACAACAAAAAATAAAATAATAATAAAGAAGGAAAAAGAGGAAAAATAAAAAAATAAATAAAAATTCGAAAAAAATATTAAAATATTATTAAAAAATATATTAGCATCGGCCGTGCCATCTAGGACGGCCAACATCCACGTCAGCGATTTCTGGCCAAATTTGGCAACATGGACTCAATTGGTAAAACGTGAAAATGTTTAGAATTTAATTGGCACAATTAAAAGGTGTATGACTCAATTGGTAAAAGTGCAATAGAGAAGAATTACCAAAAAAATGTTAAACCTATTACAATTGTACCAATTTAGTCCATTGGCAGGAAATCACTAACATGGATGTCAACCGTCTTATGTGGTGCGGCCGGTTTTGACATGGACAATTTTTAATAATACTTTAATATTTTTTTCGAATTATTTATTTGTTCTTTTCTTTTTCTTTCTTTTTTTTCTTCCCTTCTTCCTAAGCCTCGATCGGAAAATAAAAATAAAAAATTCGAAAAAATATTAAAATATTATTAAAAATTATCCATGTTAGCGACACTCACGCCACATAGGACTACCAATGTCCATGTCAGCGATTTCCGATCAAAATTAGCCTGATGGACTAAATTGGCACAAATACAAAAGGTTTATAACTCAATTGGAAAAAAGTTTATGACTGAATTGATACAATTATTAAATTGTGTCACAAGTTCAAAAAAAATTATTAAAAATTATTCACGTCAATGACACCCGTGCCACATAGGACGGCCGGAGTCCATGTCAACGATTTCTGATCAAAATTAGCTGGATGGACTGAATTGACACAAATGCAAAATGTTTATGAATCAATTGGAAAAAAAAAGGTTTATGACAGAATTGACACAATTACAGTAGGTTAAGGATTTCTTTGGTAATTTTCCCATTCAATAAGTTTAGGACTTCGTAAGTTACCATTCTTAATCCGACACTTCTGATAAAGTGCGTCAACATTTAGAAATCTACTACCGAAGGGACTCTGAGTTTTAAGAAATTGATAATGATTTACTATGAATTTGCAGCGGCAAATTATTTCTCTCTTTTGTAAGTTACAGCCGTCACCATAGCAAAGCATATCAACATTTGGTTATCTACCATAGGAGGGACCCGAAAATTCGAAAAAAAATGTTAATAATCTATCTCGAATTGAAATGGTGAAATACTAATCGACTTAGCAAACAAACTGAGTCTACACTAATTACAATGGTTGCGCGACGGGTATAGCGTAGCGAAGCTTGGTTTGCTGGTCTTTCTTAGTCTTTCTCGCTCGTGTATTCCATAGAAAATTCCACTCACACTAGTTTTCATGACAAGGTTTGCAAATTTTTGAAGCGAAGAGGCATGTTTTGCTCGAGCAGATGCTTACGGGATGCTGAGTTTCATATATTCTAGAAACCCTTTTCAATCTCGACAGTAGAGAGAGCCATTTGGACTTGTGTCATTCTCTAGATTTGAAGCATTTACGAAACCTAGTGCACGAATTAGTACAAGAATATCCCATAAATTGCCAAAACCCTCCTAACTTTTCTAGGCAGACCAGACGCAACATATTCGGATTTATCCCATCGATTTTCCCTCTTGCACGTACCATGTTCAAACCAACTGGTGCGGAACATCTTATCCTCGCGCTTTATTTTCGAACTATATATACACAACCGAGGCGAAGTCCGATTTGGAGAAAGCGGAAGATTTTCAGGGATGGCTGGACCTGGAGTTGTTGCAGAAGATGAAGAGAGCGTTCTTAGTGGAAGCAAAGTCCTGCCAATGTCTTCCCCAATGTAAGCATCAGAGTGTTCCTCGCTACTGTTCAACATAAATTTGGTTGGCACATTCTTTGAAATGTCTCTTCAGTCTTCATAACGTTTCAGCATTTCGGTTCATTCATTAGTGTCTTGGTGTGATTTTGCAGTGAGGAACGGAGGAATGTGAAGGACACAGGAAGGCATAAGCCCACTTCCCTGACTGCGATCTTGGGCTTGAAGGACTTCTTCTCTTTGGAGGTCAATATGTGCTCATATACTTTAACCTTCTCCGTCAATATCGAAAGAGAAATGATTCATTGTACTTCGAAAATTGTAATTCATGTCGTAATTGCCAGGTATGGCGAGCGTCGTTGGCGGAGCTCGTAGGCATGGCGGTGCTCGTGTTCTCCTTGGACACCATAGTGATCTCCTCGTATGAGACCAAAACCGAAACGCGGAACCTAGTCATGTCGTTCCTCATCGCCATCACCCTGGCCATCCTCCTCCTCGTCACGTCGCCTGTCTCTGGTGGCCACATCAACCCCGTCGTCACTTTCTCCGCCGCGCTTACCGGCCTCATCTCCCTCTCGAGAGCGGCCATCTATATTCTGGCGCAGTGTGGCGGCGCGGTGCTCGGCGCGCTCGCGCTCAAAGCTGTGGTCAGCAGCAAGATCGACCAAACCTTCTCCCTTGGAGGCTGCACGCTCAACATCATCGCTCCAGGCCCGAAGGGCCCTGTCACGATTGGACTCGAGTTGGTCCAGGCCCTATCGCTCGAGATAATTTGTACCTTTGTGTTCCTATTCGTGTCGGTCTGGATAGCCTTCGATCATCGCCAGTCGAAAGCCCTGGGCCGAGTTGTCATCTTCAACATCATCGGAGCAGTGGTCGGGCTCCTCGTGTTCATCTCGACCACCGTCACCGCGACAAAAGGCTACGCGGGGGTGGGGATGAACCCGGCTAGGTGTTTGGGCCCGGCCCTTGTGAGAGGAGGCCATCTTTGGAATGGGCATTGGGTGTTTTGGGTCAGACTGACCATCGCTTGTGTGGGATTCTACCTCTACGTGAAGATCATTCCGACGAAGCATTTTCATCATGCCGAGGGTTACAAGTATGATGTGTTGAACATTTTGAAGGCCCCATTTGCTTAAAATGAGATAGGATGTTCCATGTAACTCCGCATAATCAGTTCTTCAATTCCGTGCACCTAAATTATGAAAAAAATATGGTAGTTGTGCTTAGCATTAGGGACTGCAAATGTATTGCCCCCTAAAGTTGTCAAAATTAATCAGTAATAAAACCAGCACATGGTCTTTGATAATGAGACAGAGACTCTTTGAATTTGAATGTGATGGTTGTTCTTATTTTGATGGGATAAGTGCACTGGAAGTGCTAAAACGTGTCACGAAATTACAACTGATCAAGTCCTATAGTTTGTCATCAAAGTGCAATCAAGTTCTAAAACTTGCTACGAAAGTATAATCGAATCTTAAAAATTTTCAAAAAGTGCAATCAACTGAAGGACTTAATTGGACCAATTTGTTTAGTTTTATGACTTGATTGTATTTTTTGACCATTTTAGGACTCAATTGAACTTTCGTGACAAGTTTTAGGATCAATTTGACAAGTTTTAGGACTTGATTGTTCTTTTGGAAAGTCCTATGACTTAATTGCACTTTTTGAAAGTTTTAGTACTCAATCACACTTTAGTGACAAATTTTAAGACTTTTAATGCACTTATTCATATTTTTAATGAATTGGGTATTGTTGTAGTGACTATGACTCTGGAGAAAACGTGCCAATCGTTCAATTATGATTGTAATATTTTGCTAAATTAATTATTAGCTTCAACTAATGTCAAAAGTTATTGATGTACTTCAATTCCTAAAAGTATTGAGTTTTGTTTTTGCCTGTCGAAATTTAAATCGGGGGCCCTACTTAGAGGTCACTATATATATAAATGATTATTGGTCGAGAAATCGGTCTGAATTCGAGAATTATCTATATGAATATAATACTAGAAACTGTAAACATTTATACTCTGGAAAACTAATTTGATCGAGTGCTCAGAAAAAAAGAAGAGATAGCTCACGTATTGTGTACTCAAACACACAGTAATAGACGTATGCTGACAGATACGAAGGCTCCGTTTGTTTCGTGAAAAATAAATGATTTGAAAAATATTTTCAAAAAACGATCGCTTGTATTGCTTGAAATAATTAGCCGATAAAAAATATTTTTATTATAAACAATAATTTATGTCTAAATATTTTCGTAAGCGATGAAAGAAATTTTCATTCATTTATTTTTGTAGTGATACGAGCGATTATTTCTGAAACCCGAGCACTTCCCGTGGAATCGCTCAGAGATGGAAGCTGCACGCTCTTCTCCAATTTCTCCGTCCTGTGGTTGATTCTTGAAGCAAGTGAAGTAACTGATGTTTTTCAAGACGAGGGTATTCCTCTTTTCTAGACAAGAACTTCACTAGCACGATAATACAGACTACAGAGTACATTATTTACGTTCGACACACAGATATACCTTAATAGCATCATCATGCTGCTTCGTCTCGATTTTTATCCTTCTTGTTCCTCTCTCTCTATGTATATAAGAGACCTGACAGACTAGGAAGTCGCCTGCAGAAGCGATGAAGAAGAATCGAGAGGCTCGTGCACGACTGAATTCGATGAGACCAAGACGGGGTTGCCCTCTAGTTGCAGCATGACACTCCCCAGTATCTCCGCGAGCATCTTCTTGAATTCTTCTTCCTTCACAATCTTCCCGTCGTCCGCGTCCATCATCTTGAAGGCTTCGTTTACAATAGTGTCCATCTGCAGCATCATCAACGGTCAATTTGCTTTAGTGCACACAAACTTAAGCATTATGCAATTAAAATCTATCATCGGCAGAGACCAAGTGGTCTTTCATTCAGTTCAGTGCTCTGCAATCACTTGGTCTACAGCTCCCTTTCGGGATGGCCTAGTTAGGTTTCAGACGGAGGAATGTACACATATATGTGTATGCACTTGTCTGCACGGAAATGCTAATCTTTGGGTTGATAGCCAAATCTCGGGTTGGCAATGAAAGGATAGTGTATTCTTGGTTAAATCTGATGCTATAAACCAAACAAAAAATCCTGAAGAAAGGGGGAAAAATGCAGGCATTGACTTAAAAGACTTTACTGAATAACATTGATTTCTCTAAATTGGACAGTCAAGTCTATCGGTTTGCTTATTCTTATATGGAGGTGGTCAATTTGTTTTCTGATAACTTGTGATCAGGGGTTTTTTTCGTTGTTGATTTCCAATGATGGATCCGTCAACACATGCAACTGAAATGACATTTCGAATTCAGAATTGGCGGGAAAGATCAATAACCTGATCAACTGCCCCAAATGGAGGTAATCCGGCTGAAGGGGCCAATGCATCCAGTGCCACACGCAGATACTCCTTCGAGATCTTCCCTTGTTTATCTTTTGGCACATTCTCCAGGGCTGCATTTAGCGACTGCAAATGCAGAAACATAAGGTACGTTAATTTCCCAATTTCTGTCCGATGTCTATTTACTGGAATGAGAAGGGACGAATTAATCTATATGGTAGCTCGTTCGAAGCAACAAGAGACCTTGTCTAATTCGAATTTATTTGACAACAGTCTCTTAATTCCACTCCCATCAAAGGTATTCTCGCTGTGAGCGACGATCACAGGCTGCTCCTTAAGACGTTGAGCCACTCTCTCTGCTACTTTCTTGAATTCCACCAAGAATGTCTCTTCAGAGACAGGCTTGTCTAAATTATCATCTGCTCCAGACTGCAAAGCTGGTTCCACGATGTTGCTCCCGACCTACGCGAAAAACAACTGTAAGAAGAAAATTGCACGATACCAGAAAGGAAGAATTTGCAAGAAGCGACTAATATCTCACAGGATGACTACATTTTCCATATTTCCTTTTGCACATTCAGTGCTTATTAGTCGGGGATGTTCTAAAGATATTTCTAAGGCACAATTAATTCCGTTATTAAGAGACCAACCAGCTATCTGATGCATTTGATCTCAAATATCTGAACTTGATTCAATTTAAGTTCTTTCTTCTCTTGTTATTTTTGCCACTTCAGTTTCTTACTTGGCTGCACTTCACAGGAAAGAAAAAGGACAAAAGAGAACATGGGATGAAGAGAACACCAAAATAGAAAATCAATTACCCAAGAGTCGCAACATGGGGGCATCCCTTGTTCAACTGTTAATTTCTCCAAGGCCTTGACAATGTAATCTCGAACCGATCCATCAGGCACTTCTATCTGCGAGTATATAGAGACCATTTCCGACTCAAAACTTGGGCCATTGACAAACTCCAGGAGGTCCTCCCCATCAATGCGGAGGATAACAATAGGGTCTCTCTTCAAGCCAGCAGCCATGCCCAACAGGAAATCAGATAGCACCTCCTTAAACTCAGTCTTGCTCACTTTCTCTTGTTTTCCATGGGTGAACTCATTCAAAACCTGTAACAGCAGCCATACAAAACTGAGCAATGGTTCTCCTTTCAAGTCAATCAGCCTTAACAGAAGCAGAAATCAAAAGATAAATACATTTTCGAAGAGTGCCCATGACACATGTCCATATTTTGTTGCCCTTTTAGTTATGCAGCCATGTTAAGTACTGCTTACTTTTCTTTACAAGTTTCATTAGTTCTCCCAATTCACAAGGCATATGTCTTTTCAACTTCATATTTACGTATGGCAAGTCTATTTTGCCTTTAAGATGTTTAATTGTTGCCAAGAGCTCCATGATCTTCCCTCTCCTTTTCCCCTCTTGACACTACTTTTTTCTTCTTGAGATGTGTTGGGTCATTCAGGCGGGGCTGGTGGGGGTTGTGGCCTACCCAAGACTATTCAATTGTCGCCGTCCATTCGCGTCATCCCTAACATTCTTTATTCGGCCCAACCTAAACTGTCATTCTGTCTTTGTAGTTCCTGATTCTCTCTTTACCTTTCCGCATCATGACTACTTTCAGAACGAGAGAGAGCAGAGCCAAACACGCACCCTGCAATGGTTAGCAACTGAGCAAGGTCGTCTCATGTTGCGATTGGCCTAAGAAAAGATGCCACACTGCTTCCCACATTCATCATGCGCCTAACAGTTGCAGGTATACCGAAAAAGAAACACGAATTGTTTTCCATCTTTACTGTTTTTTTACAATCACGTGTTTCTCCACAGCTCGGGCCACATCACACCATGAAAGTATCTTTCTTCGCAGTGTTGCTTCATACCCATTGTCCCCACCACCACCACCACCACCACCACCATCACATTAGCTTTGGACATAATCATATCAATCTATCATGCACAGCACATATTCAGGATGATGATCGAACTTGCTCGTAGAATCTAGTGACTGTTCAGGCGTGCAACTCCTTTCTACAACGTTCGTCACTAGATTCCTGGAGAAAGCGAGAGAGAGAGAGAATAAAAAAGTCAAGAAAGGAAAAGAGAATTGCCCTCCCAACTCCAAAAGCTTAGACCCCACCACACCGACAAACGTAAGTCATAGGCTGGGGCGTGGATCTCTCTTGCCCTACTTACTGCAACTACATGATTTCACAAATTGTTAACAAGGACTTGGTTGATAAGTACCTAATTGCACCCGAGTAACGATTAAAATGATTACAACTTTCCGCCCACTAATACTTTCTTATTTAATGACGCTTAATTACGTTTAACAAGTATTTCGGTGCACTTATTAACGGAACCCTTTTGATTATATTTATTTTTCAGAAGTACCCATCAGAAATAAAGGCAACCACTCGTCACCCTTTGGAGGAATATAAATGTAGCATTCACATTGCGAAGGACTCATCCGAGACTCTTTCGTCTCGTCTGAAGCTTGCACAGGCGACAACTAGTGCAGGAGGAGGGTCATCTTCGAGACGAAACAACAAATTTTTTATGGGAGATTAGAACAACTACAAGATCAGAATGAAAATTCATCATCATCATCAGTTGATCTCTCTCGTCTCTTTCTTTTTCGTTTATTAGAAGAGACAAAGGGACCGGTCAGCATTTAGTATTCACCCCAGCACGAGCTGCAAAGTCAAAAGCATACGTGACTTTATCTTAATGCTCATCTCCTCCACGCTTCATAAAGGATCGCATTCGTTCCTCCTCTACACCGGCCATCCGCGCCCACGATCAGCACTCAGAAGATGCCTCTGAACTCAAACTTTTCACCGATATATTTTCATGGCGATTAACTGGGCAATTCTAGATAATTTATATGACTTTTTACTGAATCGCCCAAAACCGGATCCAAGCAGGTTAACTAAGTGCCGATCACCACAAATTACGTACGCGAGGTCCTAATCATCGAATTTTATCAGGACCTAAAGCTCAAACTCGGTTCATTGCTCTAAGTTACAAAGCTAAGCAATCGATCTTATCACTCCGATAACCTCTTGAATGATCCTAGAGACAAAATGTTATGTTGCAGAAACTCTTTGTTTATCTTGGAGGCCTCTCTATAGTCTAGAATCTTACCTACCCGATTGGTGTTACAAGGACATCAATGTTATGAATGGGGGAGTTCATGGCACTCAACAAAACAAATCCGCTGGGAGAGACCTTGCCTAAGTGCATCGGGCCTCGTTGCACATGGATTATGAATGATCCAATTGTACTGTGAAACTCCTAGAGCATGATGACGATGAAGGGTTCCCTTTCTGGGACTGGTCTAAGGCTTGTGTGACAGAAGTTCATATGCATGAGCGAATGAGTGCAGAAGAGAAGAGTGTGACCGGCTCTGACCTCGGAGTAGATGTGATCTGAATCAGGCGAAGAGCCCTGAGCAGGCAAGCCGAGGGCGGCACCAATGTCGGCGACGGCGGGCTCGAGCTCCTTGACTGAGAGTTGGCCGTCGCGGTCGTGGTCCAGCTGCTCAAACTTATGATCCACGAAGTGGGCGAACACCTCCTCGTTCTCAACCAACTCCATTATGTTGGAGCCATCAAGAACCTCCCCACTGCTCCCGCTTTCCCTCTGCCTTTCCATTGGGGGATGGCCTCAAGATTTCCTGTGAACCTGCGCTCGTGAGGCGTTTGCTTTTTGCGCCCTTTTGGAGCCTCTCGTGAGTTTGACCGGATGAACTGAGCTGTTGAGTCTCAGGTTTTGAGGGATGAGGATCAGTTGATGCTGTCACGGGCTTGCTTGTCTGGGAAGAGAGAATGGTGGAGGGGCTAACGAAGATGTCGTCTGCTCGTTAAATAAGGAGAGCTGAGAAGAGAGGGAGCGACCACTTGACGTTTAGCCAAAGATTAGGAGGAAAAAAAGAAAGAAAATGATGGTAGAATTGTCTACGGCTTGGCTTGGTTGGTTCAGGTTTTATATCCGGTTGGTTTTCTAATAATGCTCGTGCTGAAAGAAATGTCAAAATTACAGATAACACGTGGTGCAAGTAATGACATGGGTATCGGATTTGGATTTTGGCGAAAAAAAAGAAGAACGTGCTTATCTTACTAATGACGCGAATGGTAGAAACGCCGGCCAATGAAAATGATGTGACAAATTCTCGATAGATGTTTGACAATATCCACTTGCTTAAATGCTCACGGTGCCGTTTGTTACCCCATTCTGTGTGCCATAACATATTTTAGTTTCTAATGTGAAGAGAATAGGAAAGTTAAGAAATGCCAGGATTTTGGATAAATTATGCGACATGGGTATCGAATTCGGATGCTTGAAACTTGATCAAATCCATCTATCTAATGTCAATTGCGTCGGTTGGTCCAGTCGGTCCCCATTTGATAAGCCGACTGTCGTGTTTAATATATGTTGTGCATTAGTTTAATTAGAGGAAAATTTCATTGAAAAGAGTTGGGACCAAAACCGAAAGGGGAACCTTCGAGAGGAGGGGAGAACGTTAGGAACACCAAATGGAATAGGGCCACTAATCAAACGTGTGGCTAGGACACGTGGGACGGTTTGGAGGTTGTGTGAAATAAAGAAAAAATGATTGGAGACCGGCCCCAATGGTCGGCCCTCACCTTGCACGACTCAAATCATAGGGGATTACATCACCACCCCTTCGTTATCTTTTGGCTTCTTCCGCTACGTGGCCCCTGCCTAATACACGTTTTGACTATAGGACATTGGGATGAGTACGACACCGCCCATTGATGTTCATACGATGTTAGCCAATGCTCGAAGTCGTGCGAATATGATATTACCAGAGAACGACACAAAGTCTCCTACTCAGGGAAGGTTTGCAGGAAATTGCCACCATCTTTTAGTGGTTTAGGAAATCTCTCTCTTTCAAGGAGGCAGCCGGGATTCGACTTTCCCAGGAAGTAGGCCATTTCGAAAGGAAGTTGATTAGGGATTATCAATAAGCCTAGAATTGATTCTTCTTGGGCCGATGCCTGAGCAGTTAATGGGGAGCCTTTGAGGGAAATGCGGCAAAAGGAAAGAAAATCCATGGGCGACCCATCGTCTCCATCCCATAAATCTAACCAGGAGGACTTGTGCTTACACTTCTATGTTTACCGGGGCTATCTATTACAACTGGATGGGCTATAAAAGGTGCTGCTACTAGTCTTCTAAGGAGGCTCTCAACTATTCCTTATGGATAGAAGGGAATTTTCATGATAACTTGAGCACATCACCACCCAATGGTGTTCATTCAATGTTAGCCAATCTTCAAAAAAATGCGAATATGATATTATTAGAGAACGACACACGAAATTTAATTTCTAGGTGACTATTTATATATGCAAAAGTGAGTAAGGCTCACGCGGGATTAAACTACATGGCATGTTCTCACATGAAACGATATGTTTTTAATGGTTACTTTTGACAAATTTCTAATTTTAATGCATATTTATTTATATCTTATGCAGATGTTCCTTATAGTCGAATGTAAATAGATTTCTCTCTGTCAAAGTGCCTCTAGTCTTATCTAAATTTCGATCAACCAGCAAAAAATACAGTGGAAAAAAGAAGAAGAAGAATATGTGTCATCTCATTGTGCTGACTATCTACTCATATGAGTTGCTGCTCTTCGCCGTCTCAGGCGATTGATAGCAAGCTCAAACATTCTCCATTTGGAATCCTTCTCCCTGTGCAATGTCCGTTCCACATCTTCAAGTTGAGGCGGATTCGATTTGCCATTTCCTGAGCATGAGCCGTTTGGCACCGTGTCCGGCGGGCTTGCTCTAGTTTGGCCAGAAGAATCGGCAATGAGTTGACCCGCGACCGGTTCTCTGCTGCTGCTTCCGATGGGCATTGATGATGGAGTTTTAGACAATGTGTTTGCTTCTATCTCTTGCTTAGCTAGATCATCGTCCGCTTTGAGATATTCCTGCGCATGTTGGCACGAGCTAGCGTGATAAGCTCATTTCCTCAGACAAATTACCATAAGTATTCGACTACATCAGTATGGTAAAACAGGGAAAATTATGAGACGAGTGTAGTGCGTGCACTAAGTTACATTTTGACAATGCAAAACTATGGCTACAATAGTTTCTGTCTAGTGTGTACTCAATCCACTTAAAACTGTTTCAAACTTTTGCAGTGTGTACTTGATTCACTAGAACTGTTTCACTCCCTCTATCTGGTTCTGCTACGCAAACTTGACAGAGCAACTGGTGATATAGCGATCAAATTGATCGAGAAATCAATTCCCTTCTCTCAGCAAAAGTTTCGCTAATCCATAAAATACCTGATCGGGCCACGGCACCGACTTCGACGGAGAATTAGCATACTGCAGAAACTCGAAGAACCTTATCTGACCATAGCTCATTGCCTTTTGCCACATCAAAACTGCCGAATCCCCTGCCATCACCCTCAGCTCCAGCAAGCTACGGTCGATAACTTTCTCGTGGGTCGCCAAGTATGGCCGAAAGAAGCAGCTGTAAATGTACTGTGTGCCCTGGAAATTTCAAATATAAGTAAAGGGGGCAAAAAGATCATCAATTCGAAAAGAAGTTGCCAAATTTTGCGTTGGGATGAGACATGACATAAATACTCAATGCATACCTTTGTCTGGGGATGCCATAAATAGACGAAGAAAGCGAACTTCGCTTCACCGTACAATGGTAACCTTCAAGAAAGCAAGACTCAAAAGATATCAAGGCATGGATAGCAAGAAAATCTGTTACTCCAGGTTACTGGATTTAATTCTTCTGCTGTATTGAGTTGAAACTATACCATGATATGAATGCATCGCCAAGTCTCTCGCAGACCGAAAGAAAAGCTACTAAAATCCTGCGAAAAATGAATGAAGAGAACGCATTGAAGTGTAATTTCCAGCAATACCATTGAATTGTACGAGGACCAAGACATGAAAACCCAGACCAGTACTGGCACCAGAAGAGAAGTTGTTGGGTCTCCGGTTCGTTGTTCTCGATGGTTTTAAAACAATTGTAAGCGGGATAAGCGTAACCAAATATCATCCTGCACCCGCAGAACAGAATTCCCACGTGAACGAAATTCATCGCCCCGGAAAAGATACAAGTGACATTGACTAAGCCAAAGCATCAATTGGAATGACATGATAGAGATTATATTTGATTTGTAGTTACATACAGCAGAGCCCTTGAAAGAAAAGATCCCATCATTCTGTACACTTCAGATAGAAGATGATCTTGCTTTTGTTGGTTTCTCTTTGTCAACCTGAAACCAAGCAAAGAAACATAAACAAACTAAGAGCCTTTACACTTAATCACAACATGCACTTCCGAACATAAAACAGTGGGGACACTCGAGACAGACAACTCGACCATCTCGAATCATCATCGTACCAAAATGACGACTCGGGCGGCCGTGCAAAAGAAAGCAAAACTAACTCGTTTCCCGGTTCTTAAGCCGGCGAAAGCGAAACTGATTGAATGCGCTATCGGGTCATGAATTGAGCAGTTCAAGCACACGACAATGCATCAAGAGGGGTTTCCTGAAAGCTATCTGAGACCGAGGAACTCAAAGAAACTACTCACTACGACAAAACAACATGAAGAGGAGATGCGCAGACGAGGATGACGGAAGAGACTTTCGTGGGAAGCTGGTCCGTTTGAATGGCGCGAAACGTTCACGAAACCTTACAAAAAGAGAGGGCCCACGAACCGGTGCACGTCGCGCGAAACGCCGCGACGCGCCTCGACGATAAAACGACATGGCGGTTTCGCCCTCGCGACCGGTTTGGGCTCGTAATGACTCGGGCCTTGTTTTTTTCGGCCCAAGGACCTCTTCTTCGATTATTTTCTGATTATGATTACAATTTCTTTTTCTTTTTTTAAGAGATAATCCGAAGTCTTTAGTATATTCGAGGCGGCTTTTCGAGTTTTCTCGTGCGTGATGAGTCGGGTTTTGTGATCCTACTTACACAATCAAGTCAAGTTCGAGATAGATTCGAAATATAACCAAGTTTCACAGGAACGACTCTGTGAGTAGCTCGATCGATTCGAATCCATTTCGTTAGAATCTAAGGTTCAAACTTCTGAATAGGACTTTCTTTTTAATACTTCGTATAGTTAGATGAACTCTTTGTCAGGACTTCTTTGGGAGAAAATTACAAAAAAAATGTCATAAATCTATTATACTCGTGTCAATTTAGTTTAAAACCTTTCACTTTGGGCAATTTAGTCCCAAACCTTTTGGCAATTTACCAATTGATTCCTTTCGGTTAATTTTAGCCTGAAATCGCTAACATGGACGGCGGTCGTCCTACATGACATAACCAACGATGACGTGGACAATTTTTTGCAAATTTTTTGAATTTTTATTTTATTTTTCTTTACCCTTGCTAGCCACCGGGCCGTTGGTCATGCCCTCACCAATCGCGAAGGCCTCGCACAGATCTGGCGAGGGCCTTTGTGTCCTTGCTCGCAGCTTGCCGGCATATTGAAAAAAAAAAGCAAAGAGAAAAAGGAAAATTAAAATAAAAAAATAAAAAATATTGTCAATGTCAGTGCCGCCCATACCAACGTCAGTTGTGCTATGTAAAACGATAATCATCTACGTCAGCGATGTCCAGCCAAAATTGGCTATAAGGACTCAATTGGCTAATTGGCAAAATGTTTAGGACTAAATTGGCAAATCGAAATTTTTATGATTGAATTTGTACAAATGCAATAAGTTTAAACCTTTTTTTTAGGAAAAATGGATTTCATGATAGGTCTAAAAGTTTACACAATCTCCTTATTATTATCTCATTAACAATTACAAAAAAAAAACCAGTGAAATATATTTAATTTTGCAAGTACCATTTACATATCTCAAAACAAAATCCTACATTAAAATAAGACCAATTACCCCTCAAACTCATTTTAGCATCTTGTTTAAAATTTAAGTAGTAAAGTAGTCTTTATAGGCAAAACTTAGGCATGTACTTAGTATTTTTAAAGAAGCTAAAAATATACGAGCTGTCTTTGATTTTTTTTTTCCCTTATTTTAATGGGTTTATTTTACTTGCGCCCAAAACCGATAAAACTGAACTGATGAGCTGGGAAAATCAAGAATTGGTCGACGGAATGGCCACGTCACCGGGGGAAGCGCGCCACGTCAGCAAACGGATAGTTCAAAACAGAAAAACAAAGCAGGGGGAGCCAGCCAACCAATAAATAGCGCGCACATCGTTTCGCTCGTCATCTCTTAACCTCCACTCCCTCTTCTTCCACCTTTCATCCACTCCCCCATCTCTCTCTCTCTCTCTGCAACTTCAACTGCAACTTCAACGCTGGGAACTCCATGGAAGCGAGCTTCGCCGCGAAGCCACGCTCGGTGGTGCTCGCGCCGTGCGCCTCGCCATCCCGCGGCCTCTCCCCCGCCAGGCTCAGCCTCGTCAGGACGCGGTTCCTCGGGAGCTCCCACAATCTGAGGCCTCCCGGTTCCCCCCTCCGCCGGAGCAAGAGATGCCGGCGGCTGCTCCAGTCCCGCTCCCATCGGCAGCTGCTCCTCGTCAGGGCTTCCGGGGCTCCGCACGCGGTGGTCGTCGTGATCGCCGTCCTCGCCGTCTCCGCCGTGTCTCTCTTCTTCCTCGATCGCTACTACACCACCAGGAGAAAGCGCGGCAAGCGGGTCAGCGTTCTGCATCTTTCATGCACTGTTCTTGAGTTTTCGAGTGATTTTCGCTGCGATTGCCGAGAGACGGTGCTTGTTCTGATTTTACGCTGTAGATTTTGAAATGAGGTGGTTGATTTGATTTGGATCCTCTGGATTGATTGGCATGGTGTCACGCTTTATTTGATGGCATTCCTATGGAAGTTGGATTCTACTGAAGAGTATGGAGAATCGTCTTCATGAAAGAGTATGGATACACCAACAGCCCACGAAGTGATACTGACATCACAGTAGACAGTATATCAATTTCGTAAATTAGTTTTAACATGCCTATCATTGCTAGTGCACCTAGTACTTCAGAGACTTTGGTCTGCTCCTTGGATTATAGCTGGTTATGGTTTTTCTTTGATGTGTAAATATTCCATGCACGCTAAAGCAAATGTGGAGACATATAAGCTCACTTGATTTTCTCATTGGGCATGGCTTTATTGGTTCATTTGTACACATTTAGTGGCCTTATCATGTTGTGACCGTGACATGATGAGTACAGACGGGCCTTGTGTATGTGTTTTTTTTTTTTTAACATTATTGGTTCTTCACAATTTGCTTCGCTGTTCCTAGGGTAGACATTCAACTAACCCATCTTTAGTCATTTCATTTGGGGTCAGGTTACCGGCGAAAGATCTATTGCTGACGAGAAATGTGGAAAGATTGAAGGTCTACCACAAGAAAAACTAGAAGAAAGATGTGTCCTAGAGGAAGAACAGCTGCTGAATTCTATAGAATCTGCTTTAGCTAGTGAAGAGATTCCCGTGACAATTTTAAAGTCTCCCTCATCCAAAATTTTTGCCTCTAATGGAAATGTAGTATTCTCCAGTGAAAGAGAATTTGAAGATTGCTCTCATTCAGCTGTCCTTCCTGAGTCAAAGGCACTGCAACCACTTATCGTTGCTAGTGGGTTGATGGAATTGCAATCACAAGAAGATAAAATGGATGAACAATGTGATGCAGAATCACCTGAACTAGTGGTGGACTCACGGGTTGCTGCTCCTAATCATGGTTGTGATGTGCAGGAAGCAGTGGAACAGAATGATCAAATAGAATCCAGGGAGCATGAACCTGCCAGCTACAAAAGCTTTTTCATGGAAGCTGAAAGAATGGACCTGTATACATTTTACGAGCCGAAGCAGTCGGAAAAGGCAAAACAAAGCAGCTTGAGTTTGCCAGGAAGACCAGCGGCTTCACAACGCACTGTTCTCGATGTAAATGGGCTTTCTTCATTGACAAGGCACATGATATCCAGAGAAGAGAAATTGTCATTGCAAGGTTCTTTCGTCATCACTGGTCGTGCCTTTTTACAGCTACTAGTTGTTAATAGTCCTCTTAAACCACTGAGGACATTTTATGCCATTTTATTTTAATTTTTAGTTCGCTTTGCATCACATTAGAATTTCTAAAATGGATATAATGTTTTTGCAGAAGATGCTGAACGTACAGTACCTTTATCATGTTATAATGGAGCATCTTCAGGCAAGAGAAAAGGCATTGAAGATGGCAGAGAATTATCTAGAAGCAAGGAAGTTAAAAACGTCCAACCAAACAAATCCATAGAGCTACCTGCATTGCCTCACCCAAATGGCATTCGTGTCAACAAAATACGCCATCTTACTAAGCATTTAAGTTCTTATAATCATTTACTGAGACAGGGCAGGTAGTTTCTAATTTTCTTGATTGAGAAAACTATTGCTTTGATTAGTTATTATCTTCACTAATAATGTTCTACTAGGAATCTGTGACTTGTTGAGAACTTTGATCTCATTCATAAGTGATTCTTGATAGGATAACTGACTGCATAAAGTTGCTTGAGGACATGGAAAAGTTGGGTACCCTTGATATGGACAAGGTTTGTGAGAGGATTCTGGTGCTCGGTGCCCTGTTTATAACCTTTGTAGCTTCTTGTTGCAATCTTCTTCTGTGGATTTATTCATTAAGTTCTCTTAAATTTCAGATATATCATGCAAGGTTTTACGACATGTGCAAAGGTCGTAAGGCTCTTGATGAAGCCTTCCGCTTTACCAAGTTGATTTCTAACCCGACCTTGAGCACATTTAACATGCTGATGTCTGTATGTGCAATTTCTCTGGATTCAGAGGGTTAGTTGATTTCTAACCTGACCTCGAGTATATATGTATCTCGCATTTCCCAAAGTATCTTGTCTTTTTGTTCCCCTTAACTCTTGTTAACATATTATAACTTGATTTTTTTTCTTATACCTCTAGGTGCTTTCCGAGTTCTACAATTAGTCGAAGAGGCTGGACTGAACGCTGACTGCAAACTTTATACTACTCTTATTTCGACTTGTGCTAAGTGCGGGAAAGTCGACAGAATGTTTGAAGTATGCCAACTTCTTTAGATTTACTGGAGTTTTTGCATGCTCTCTAGAGGGGCCTTTACCTTGCACTTTGCTTTTCTTATCATTTGTTTTTTTTGTTGATGTTTCCTCAATGTTACATGCTGCCTTAATCTCATCCTCATCATGCAATGAAATAATTT